CTCCTCATTTATTTGATAGTGTAAAGTGTACAAATGGTATCCTATTAAATAGCTAGTATTGTATGAAATGGAATCAAGCCACTGTTTCATAGTATGAAACAGTTCGCTGGCAATGAGACAGATAAGGAGAAGATTAGTATATACACAAAGATGAGTAAGCAATAAGGTTAAGTTGTGCACTCACATGTAAGCTTCAAAAAGATGAGATTTTTTTGAATCCCATGAAGGCTTTTGGTTACATAAAAAAGGGAAAAAGTCAAGATGACAGACATTATTTTTATAGTTTGTTTTGTGATGTGTTTGGTTGGAGAAAGTTGTACAGTGGACTTTTTCTTTTAGGGGACTAATTTCTTTGTTCTCCATTAATTAAAACCCAAATCCTAACCCTAAAAATTAACTAACAGATCATCCTCAAAATAATTGAAGGGTGCAATAATTAGGGAAATCCAAGGTTTGAGCAACAATAATTGCAGAAAAGAAAACAAGCAGCCAGCAGTTTGCTTTTAAATTCAGGAAAGTGAATGATTCTGTAATAATTGAACAGAGTGTTTTGTTTTTTAAGATACTGACAATCCCAAGTATCAACTTCATAGTCAGTAGATTTTGTATTTAAAGCATTTTCTTTTCATGTGTGTGAAAGAAAACAGAAGGTGGGGTAGGTACACAGCTACCTTCACTGATCTTATCTATTTGCACTCAAGATGCATCAAAATCTTCCCAACTTAATTCATGGAAATGTTCATGGAAATTTTAAATTAAAATAATGATATAATTATTTAAAAAATAATAATTTGGAGTGATACAAGTCAGTCTCTATTTAAAATATTTCTAAATCATTAAAAACGCACATATATCTCGTAGATAAAACTATTCAACACAAAAATTTTAAGACATAATAATATTATTTTTAATCACTAATGTCGCTCAAAAAAGTTCTTATTTGTCACCCTTAAACGATAGAGTTTGATTTGATTTTGCTAGAAGAGTACATATAATTTTAAGTTGAAATAATGATAAAATTAATATTTTGATTTTTAATGAAAGAAAGAAGACAAAAGCAGACAATGATGAAATCTGGTACACATTTGTTTTTGTTGTTGATGAAAGAATGTCCAAAATGTCTTACTATATATATTTTTTTAATAAAATGGAGTACAGTCAATCTTTAACTCATCAAATGGGTTACAAAAGAATTTGCAAATGCAAGCATTCTGTCAAGTTCTTTAAAAAATTAAATTCATACCAATTTGATGACGGCAAGAGATCTTCAGGTTCATCATAACATCCAAGATATTAATTACTGTCACTAATGTTTTTAAATATTTTCAAAACAATAATAAGGTTTTGTTCATAAAATTTTCTTTTACTTTTGATCTCAAAATTTAAATTTTTAAATGAAATAATTAATTTAATTAAATAAATAAATAAAGGGTAAACTATGTGTTTAGTTTCTTTTTGGTATGTTTTTGTAACACCCTAGACTAGTAAATTATGAGTATACTTGTATACTCACTCTCTACTCTATGGTAGACATCATGGTGCGGCTGAGGGTTCTGCATCTCGAAGCTCACACATCTCTCTAGTCTACCAAGGATGGTGCCTAAAATCTCTGTATCGGCCAACACACTCGACTAACCCACCCCTTGCAAGTGTCAGACCTTGGCCCTAGTTAGTTAGGTTAAAGTGCCTTGTGCACTCCATAAGGATATCCGAAATGATTCTATACATTCGACACCCTTAACTTTACTAAAGGAACTCAAGTGTCCTGTTTATTTCCCGAGCATTAAGCAATGCTAGTTTTATGTCACCCCAATTTATCTCATTTCTACATGTAATTAAGTATTATTATTGTTCTCACTTGTAGTCTTATTTTAGAGTAATTATAAAGCTTTTATGAAACCTCATCACTTTTTAAAGTCCCTTGAATTTCATGCCCATAAACATACCTTGGTATCGATGTTAGCCTCTCGATATCGATGCCACCTCTTTAGTATCCATACTCTCTTAAGGGTATCGATACCCTCTAGCTATGTCATCTTAAAAACAAAGGAGAAGTATCAATACCCCTGTGGAAAGTATCGATACTCAACCCTGAGTATCGATACTCTCCTAGAGTACCGATACCAAAATGATATTTTGGAACACTGGTCTCGATACCAAGCACCCCAGTCTCGATACCGAACCCTTAGTATCGATACTCCTACAAGGGTATCGATACTATTCTTCAAAAACTCTCATATTATGCCCTTAACAAGAACAATATCAATATTACTTCTTACAGTGTCGATACTCACACTTAAAAATGCCCAATTTGGCCATGAAATTGCCCCTCAAACTCCCCAATTTCTCTACCTTGAGGTTTTCCAATGATTATTAATGTTTTATGTGATCATAGGGGTCATAAATAAGGCTTTAATACATGCTAATAACATCAAAGATAAAATCTACCATGAAAAGCATATCTAAGCTTCATAACTCAACTCTATAGCTATGACATATTTCTAATGACCCACAATTGCTATGAGAAGTTGTGAGTGTGTTATCTGATATTTTTTTCTAGTAAACCTCTATCAAATTAACTAGGAGGCACGTTTTCTTTCCCCCTTGGCTTATAACTTTCTCCCACTTCCTTAGCTAAACAAAGGTAAGAAAAGGATTACTAATTTATCTAGTGTGACACCCTAATCCAGAATCACCCAAAGATCCATGGATTACAATATTACATGAGCAAAATAGTAACCCAAAATTTTTTAAACCATTTATAATCACTTAAAATAAACCATCCATAGTAATAAAAATAAAACAAGATAATATGGGTTTACAAAAGGATAGGGAGCTCCCAAATTATATCTCAAAATAATACAGTACCAAATACAAATTAGAGTTATAACTGAATATACATAAGGGTCCATATATAGTATATTCCCTTTAAATATGACTCAAGACGTACTCTGAAGGTCTCTGAAAATCTAGTCAGTTGCACTAGAATATTTGGTGACGATAACTTCCCACGAAATGCCCCTAAGAACCTGCTCACGAAAACACGTTCCAAACGCTTAGCTTACGAGCTCAGTGCCTTACTAGAAACTACATTATATGCATTCACTAAATGAAATGGTAAGTTACACAGGTTTAAGCATACAACTATTGAACTACTAATCTATGGCAAGCATCAAGGTACGGCTGAGGGATTCTATATCTCAAAGCTCACATACTTCTTTACCCCTGCCAATGTACCCTCGGGTACACCTAAGGTGAGATCCAGAATTCAGCATTAGAAGCGTACACTCGCAAACTTACTATGTCGAGTCTTGGGGCATCTACGTCCAATTGGCAACTGAAGTGCATGGCACTAACTTGGATCCACTGAATGTCGTATTTTGCTAAAAGAAACTCGGGTATCCTAGCTATTTCCCGAGCGTCAAATAAAGGCTAGTTTTATGTCAATCTAACTATCAATGTTGCTACTGTTATGATATTATTTGTTGTTATTTCTTGAAGTCTTATTTACTATTATCCGAGTGTGTTTGAGGTACCTCGGGTCTGATCTAATATTTTTTGAATTATTTATCTAAAATTGTTCGTCAGTACAGATATTGATCCCTTAGTATCGATACCGAACCATTGGTATCGATACCCACTTACTGGTATCGATACCTTACTGACTGATTAGGTTATTTGAATAGATATTATCGATACTCCTAAAGGAGTATTAATACTCTAGCCCTGGGTATTGATATTGGACTGAGTATCGATACCAAATTTAGTTCAATGTTTTTGAAAAATACTCTTCTTAGGGTATCGATACCCCTACCTTGGTATCCATAGTCTATGTGAGTATCGGTGCCAAAATTGTATTCTGCTTAATTGGTCTCGATACCACCCAACGAGTATCGAAATCAAGACCCCAATATCGATACTCTGAGAATGAGTATCGATACTTCCCTTTTAAAATTGCCCAATTTTAAGCTTGAGTGAAGAACAATATCGATACTGTTCATACAATATCGATACCGCTACTACGAAATGCTCTGTTTTGGCTCAACAGATTCAATCTTTCTACCACAAAACCTATAGTGAGGTCCCTAACTAATGTTTAAGTGTTTTATGTGATATTATGGGTCATAAATAGGCCAGAAAACATGTTGAAACACCCAAATCATACATCCACCATGGAAATGCTTCAAGCTCGTGCAACCTAATACATTTTATCTAAATGGATTACGTATGGTAAAGTTGAGTTAGAAATGAGTTACCTGAGTGTCTAAGCTGCTAGAAAGGGGCAATGGCTCAACCCAAGGTAAGTTTTTCATTCCCCCTAGATTTGGAGATTTCTCCAACCTCTTTCTCTAAGCATAACCAAGTGTATAGGTTACCATCTGATTCTAGGGGTTTAGAAAGGTTTAAAAACACTTCTAAAGGTCTATTCTTAAAAAAAACAAATAGGAACTCAAGGGTTCTCTAAACCCTCCTAAACTGTATTTCCAAAACCATGGCCAAACCTTGTATTTGGGAGCTTAAAATGAAGCTAGGAATGCGGAGATGTTGATTCTTACCTTATCTTGATCTTGAAACATTTAGAAATCTATAAAGTTTCTATCTTTTGGAATTAGTGTGAAGAAGAATTTGTAGATGAGAGAAGGGAATAAAATAGGAGTTAATGACCAAATGGGGATGAGGGGCTTCAGATGTGATATTGCCTTCTTTTATTGTTTTTCAGCTGTAATTTTAAACCATGGTCCAATTATACTTCTGATCCTCCTGATTTTGGTTAGAAGTTAAAAATGTCCCTTTTCCCCCTTGTTGAGCTTAACTCAAGCCCAGCTCAAGCCCAACTCCTCTTTAATTTGGGTAAAGGCTTCTTTTAAGCTAAAAATTAATCCAAGGCCCATCTCGGGTTAACCTAAAACTCCTAACCCGAAATATGGGGCATTACGACTCTCCCCTTATAATAAAAATTTTGTCCTTGAAATTTACCTGGATAAAAAAATGTGAGGGTACTAAAGCCACATGTCCTCATTTGATTCCCAAGTTAACTCCTTGACGTCATGGTTCCTCCATAGAACCTTTACCAAAGGAATTCTCTTGTTACTTAACTCTTTCACTTCGATTGCCAAGATTCTGACTGGTTCCTTCGAATAGTTTATATCTGAACTAACCTCTATATACTCTAAGGGTATAACGTTCGAATGATCAGAGCGGTGTTTTCTGAGCATAGATATGTGGAACACATTGTGGATGCACTCTAACTCTGGTGGTAAGGCTAACCTGTAAGCCACTCGTCCGACTCTATCAAGTACCTCATAAGGTCCTATAAAAGGAGTGGTCAACTTTCCTTTGAGCCCAAAGTGGAGTACTTTCTTCCAAGGGGAAACCTTGAGGAACACATTATCCTCAACTATGAACTCAATGTCTTTACGCTTCAAGTTTGTGTAAGACATTCGTCTATCCAAAAGCTTCTCTTAATCAGTTTTGGATCAACTGAACTTTCTCATCTGCCTCTCTGATCAAATCTGGGCCCACTATCTTACCCTTACTGAGTTTTGTCCAGCATAACAGAGTCCTACACTTGCGCCCATACAAGGCCTCATAAGGAGCCATCAGGATGCTCGACTGAAAGATGTTGTTGATGGTAAACTCCACTAACGACAAATAGACCTCCCAACTACCCTCTAAATCAATGACAGTGCACCTGATCATATCCCTGAGGATCTAGATAACTCACTCTGACTAACCATCTCTCTGAGGGTGAAATATTGTGTTGAAGTGTAGTTTGGTGCCTAAGGATTTGTGGAGGGTTTCCAAAAAATGAGAAGAGAATCAATGATTTATGTTTGATATAATGGAGTTCGATACACTGTGCAATCTAACTATCTCATGGATGTACAACTGAGCTAACCTCTCAAGGGTATAATCCATTCTAACTAGAAGCAAGTGAACTGATTTGGTTAGATGGTCAACTATGATCCAAACTGCGTCTTGTCTCGGTCTGGTCATTGATAACCCAGTCACAAAGTTCATTGTCACCCTATCCCATTTCTACTAAGGAATCTATATGAGCTATAGCAAACTTGAAGGAACCTGGTGTTCCGCCTTAACCTACTGACACACTAGACATCTAGCGATGAAATTTGACGCTTCCTTTTTCATAATAGGATCGACGTTCCCCAAATAGAGATGCTCAGTTGGATGAAGTCATTCTCTAACAACTCTTGAATCTGAGCCTTTAATTCTTTTAGTTCTATCAGTGCCATGGGATAGGGAGCAATGAACACCGGAGCTGAACCCAATATTACTTCAATGCTAAACCCCAACTCACACTCGATGATAACCCAACAATTCTTCTAGGATCACATCAAGGAAATCTTGCATTGTGTGGATATCCTTGAGTGTTTGGGTTAAAATTTGGGTGTCGACCATTGAACCAAGAAGGCCTAAAATCCACAATCGATCATCTTTTGAGCTTTGAAAATCGATACTATGCATGGCTGGATGGATCTCTCAATTATCATTTCTAACTTGGTCCTGTCGGCTATTTTGAGTTTAATCTGCCTGGATTTACACCTTAAAATGGCATCGTACTCAGTTAGCCAATCCATCCCCAAAATCATGTCAAACTCTCTGAAGGGTAACTCCATCAAATATGTGGGGAAGGTCTGGTCCTGAATCCTCACTGGGCACCGCCTGAAGATTTTTCCACAAGGATGTCTAAACCTATGAGACTTGAGAATCAAACACCTACCTACAGGTCCTCTTTTGGAATTTCTATCCCTTGAACTAGGTCGGATCAGATGTAAGAGTGGGTGGAACCGGGGTCTATCAAAGTGATGATTGGTAAAGAAAATACTGTAAAGGTACTTGATATGACGTCTACCAAATCGAACTCCTCTCGGGCTCACATAACATATTGTTTGGATGTCACTCTCGACTCTGCACTAGTCACCGATCTAGCAGTCCCATGGCTCTATTGTCCAGACACAACACTACCACCCCTAGCTGGCCCTTATCTTTTCTACACCGACGGTGTCGAACGCTGAGTCGTCGCTGATGCTGTACCCTATGCTTCTGGACAGTCTCTGGCGTAATGATCCATAGATTTGCAACTATAGCAACCTCTGAATCCCAACTGGAATATTCCAGATATCTCTTTCCGCATCGATTACATATTGTATATGTACCCTCTAGACGGTTCACTGGAAACACTCCCCAAAACTATGTTCAATGGTATCCTCCTCGAGTCGGATCTACCCCCATGGCCCGAACTCTACCTAATCTTCCTAAACTAAGATGTTGGAGGCCTCAAAGAACCCTGAATATCCCTGGCCCTTTTATTTAGAGCCTGAGAAGGTCTTGTTGACTCAATGGCTCTCCTAAACAATTTGTCACCTCATTGGACTGTCTAGCTTGTCTCTTCAAAGCCCTCTCAACTGCCTTTGCCTAGCGGGTCAGCTGAGCAAATATCCTAGGAGGATCAGTTGTAAGGTGGGTCAATATGTTACCATGAAGGCCCTCTCTGAACCGGTAACAGCGACACTCCTCAATTGATATCAAATATGTTATATATTTTCTAAGCATGAGAAACTCTCGTTCATACTCCAATACTAAGCGATCACCCTGAGTCAAGTGCATGAACTGCTCCATCAGGTCATCAATATGGATTTGTCCGATGTACTTCTCTCTGAACTCGGTGAGAAACTGCTCCCAATCGGCCTCTATGGCTCCATCTCCATCTCAAAAGTCTCTTACCAATCTATTACATCACCCTTAAGCAGCAAGATGACACATTTTAGGTTACCCACTAGGGTAAGATGTAACTATATAAGGGTGTGAAAATCTTTATGAGCCACTGAGTGGTCTTATTTCTATGGAGTCGCTTTATTGGAGACTAATGAGAAATGGCCATTGGCTGAGCTAGAAGTAATGGTAGGGGAGGTGGTGTAGTTGAAGAACTAGGGAGAGACCTAGCTATCTATATAGGTATGGAGGTGAAGTCTCTGAAAAAGGTCATCACCTCAATCTTCGCATCTACTGGTGCCTTCTGATGAGATGTATCCGAGACGAAATCATCATCGATATCTGAAACTAGTAAGGCTTGACTCTCGTCTCTACTATCCTAATAATGGGTCGGATCATCTTCCATGAGTTATATATGAAATTAGAAAGAGAAAAAGGGTCATTATCCTCATTCGAGTTGTTATAGTACTCTTGACTCCCTAGAGGCATGTACATTTTTAGACACTGACTAACTCTAACCCATAGGTCCTAGGAACTATTAAACCTGGACACTCTGATATCACTAAATGTAACACCCTAATCTAGTATCACCCGAATAACCATTAATTACAATGTTACATGGGACTACCAAAATAGTAACCCAAAAAATTTCTTTTAAAACTATTTATAATCATTAAAAATAAACCATCCATAGCAATAAAAATAAAACAAGATAATATGGGTTTACAAAATGATGGGAAACTCCCAAATTATATCTTAAAATAATATAGTACCAAATGCAAATCAGAGTTACAATTGAATATACATAAGGGTCTATATATAGCACATGTCCTCTAAAGATGACTCAAGACGTACTCTAAAGGTCCCTGAAAATCTTATCTGCTATACTAGAATATTTAGTGATGATAATTTCCCACCAACTGCCCCTAAGATCCTACGCACGAAAACATAATCTAAACGTTGAGCTTACAAGCTCAGTGCCTCACTAAAAACTATATTATACTATATGCATTCACTTAATAAAATGACAAGTGGCACAAGTCTGAGCATACAACTACTGAACCACTAATTTGTGGTTGGCATCATGGTACGACTAAGGGATTTTGCATATCGGAGCTCACGTACCCCTTTAGCATTACTGATATACCATCGGGTACATCTAGAGTGAGATTCGAAATTCATCATCAGAAGTGCATAGTCGCCAACTTACTTCGTCGAGTCTTGGGACATTTACTCCCAGTTGGCCACTGAAGTGCATGACACTGACTTAGATCCACTGACTGTCATATTGTGCTAGAAGGAACTCGGGTGTCCTGCCTATTTCCCAAGTATCAAACAAGGTTAGTTTTATGTCAACTTAGTTATCACCGTTTCTATTGTTTTAATATTATTTGTTGTTATCACTTGAAGTCTTATTTTCTATTATCCGAGTATGTTTAGGGTACCTCGGATATGATCTAATGTCCCTTGAATTATTTATCTAAAATTATCCGTCAGTACTGATACTGGTCTTTTAGTATCGATATTGAACCATTGGTATCGATACTCATCTACTGGTATCGATACCCTGCTGATTGAGTGGGTTATTTGAATAGACAATATTGATACTCCTAGAGGAGTATCGATACTTTGTCCTTGGGTATCGATACTAGACTGAGTACCGATACCAAATTTAGGTTTGATGTTTCTAAAAAATAATCTCGGTATCGATACTCTCCTTGGGGTATCGATACTTTATGTGAGTATCGGTTCCAAAATTATATTTTAATTAACTGGTCTCGATACAACCCAACCAATATCGAAACTGGGACTCTAGTATAGATACTCTAAGAATGAGTATCGATACTTCCCTTTTAAAATTGCCCAGTTTTAAGCTTGACTGAAGATCAATATGGATACTGTTCATACAGTATTGATATCCCTGTTACAAAAGGCTTTGTTTTGGCTCCAAAAATCTTGTATTTCTACTCTAAAATCCATAGTGAGGTCCTCAACTAATGTTTAAGTGGTTTATGAGATATTAGGGGGTCATAAATAGGTCTAAAAACATGTTAAAACACCCAAATCATGCATCTACCATGGAAATGCTTCCAGCTCATGCAACCTACTACATTTCATCTAAATAACTTACACATAGTAAAGTTGAGTTACAAATGAGTTACTTTAGTGTCTAAGCTGCTGGAAAGGGGCAATGGATCAACCCAAGGTAAGTTTTTCCTTCCCCTTAGATTTGGAGCTTTCTCTAATATATTTCTCTAAGTATAACCAAATACATGGGTTACCATATGATTCTAGGGGTTTAGAAAGGTTTAAAAACACTTCTAAAGGTCTAAGCTTCTTGAAAAACATAATGGACTTAAGGGTTCTCTAAACCATCCTAAAACCCATTTCTAAAACCCTTATTTCTTAAAATGAAGCTAGGAATGTGGACATGTTGATTCTTACCTTATCTTGATCTTGAAACACTTAGAAATCTATAAAGTTTATATCTTTTGGAATTACTGTGAAGAAGAAGATGAAGAGGAGATGATGAAAGAAAACAAGAGTTGGTGAGTAAATAGGGATAGAGTTTTCAGACGTGATATCACATTCTTTTATTGATTTTCAGCTTTAATTTTAAACTATGGTCCAATTACACTTTTGGTCCTCCTGATTTTGGTTGGAAGTTAAAAATGGTCATTTTCCCCTTGTTGGGCTTATCTCAAGCCCAACACCTCTTCAATTTGGGACAAGGCTTCTTCTAAGCTAAAAATTATTCCAAGGCCCATCCCGGGTTAACCTAAAACTCCTAACCCAAAATCTTGGGCATTACATCTAGGAGTTAAAACTAAGTTAGGAACACTGTAAACAACTCAAATTTATTAAAAACAAACTTAAATCTCTTAAATCCCTTAAACCTGTTAAAGCCCATTTTGAAAACATAACCAAAACTTAAGATTTCGGGGCTTGCATTGAAGCTTGAGGGATGGAGATTAAGATTCTTACCTTGGTTGATTCAAACTAGGTTTAGAATTCAAAAAGCTTGCTCCATTAACCCACCATTGAAAAGGAAGAAGAAAAGATAAATGGTTTGGTAAGCTTGGGTTCACGTGAAAAACAACTAAAATAAGGAGGTTTTATCTTTCAAAACAAGCAATGGTTAAATTGCTCTTTTGGCCCTTCTCCTTTTATCCCAATTAAAAAGCATCATTTGCCTTTAACTATTGGGCCAAACTTGAGCCCAATACCCTAAAAATTGGTCTAAACTAATTTAAAAGATCTAATGGGTTCTACTTATGGGTATCGGGTTGATTTAAACTACTGACCTGAGATTCGAGGAATTACAATTTTAGTACTTAAACTTTCATTTTTTCAAAATTATGCCTAAGGTTTACTTTTTGTTTCATTTTGATACTCCCACCGTTAAAAACTTAACATACGGGTTGACATGGCATAACTCCAGGCCTCTAGTGGTCAGATGACCAATCCGAATGGTAGAACACGAGAGAATGACGAGTCAACCAACATAGTCCAATTTCAGGCCCATTGGACGGATGACAATGAAGATTAGGGGATGAAGAAATTGAAGATTCCATCGTTGATTTGGGGAGATTGAGATATTCCCGGTGAAATAGAGGTCATAATCACGTACAAAGGGTCAAATACAGGCTGAAAAGTTTGGGCTTTATAGGTCGACGAAGGCGATGACCAGCAATCGACGAGCTCATCTATTAAGTTTATAATAGGCGGGGGTACTAAAATGAAACAAAAATTAAATGTTAGGTATGGTTTTGATAAAAATGAAAGTTTAAGTACTAAAACAGACCAAAACTAATAGTTTATGTACTAAACGCATAATTTACCCTAAATAAAAACTCACAATCTTAATTAAAAAATCTATAAAATATAAGGTAGATTAATCACATTAACTAATCATTCCTTTTAAAATCATCAAAGAGTGAAAAATGATTGTCGAATAAGAAAAATAGTATCATATAATAAAATAATTAAACAATTCAAAGAAAATAAAAAAATACAACAAACATTATTGTTGGCGGTAAATGATAAGCGCCAATACATTAACATAATGATATAACACGATGATATGTTGATAGTTGATCACAACTCAAGTACGACATCCTTACGATGATTGTAGATACCGATCAAAATTGAGAGAATTATCTTAAAAAATTAAAGTATGAACAATATCAACAAAATAACTAAATAATCGTAACTGAAAAGATAATAACAAATCTAATTCATAAAGAGAAAAAAAAACGTGTTATTTATATATATATATATATATATATATACAAAAAAATCTAAAATTTTCATAAAAATATAAGATTTATTAAACAAAACAAAAAAAGAAAACAAAGAATATTAGTAATAGAATAGACTATAGATATAGAAATATTATTGCTCTTTCTTCTTTTATGAGCACATGAACAAAGCTCAGAACCATAGATTTTGGATCTCAGAAGCCCATTTTGAAACCCCAAAGTCTCCATGGATCATTCCATTGGATCTATCTGTATGAACCCGTCAATTTCCTTTTAGAACCCTCCCTGAGATTTTGTTTCGGAGGAAGAACAAGCTAGAGAAGCAAGCAGGCGGAGCAAATCAATACCTAGAACTCGAAGGTGCGGTTTTACTTTTACCTTGTAATGTGAAATACATATACGGAAACTAAGAAATCACATGGGTTTCTGAGAAGTTTTCTTTTTTCGGGACACAAATGTGATTGTAAGAAGGGTAATTCTTGTTAATTTTGTGTAGTTTTATGTTCCATGCTGATGATGTTTTGTTCTTCTTCTTATTGTTTTTCAATTTGTAAAGTTGCTATTATATTACTATATTATGAGTTTTGGTAATATCCATATCCAGAAAAAAATAACAAGCATATCAAAATTCAAAGCTGGAAAATAAGTTTGTTAATACTCCTTTTAGTCTTCTTCGTTTCAATGGCTTTGTTTTCTATAAGGTTTAGTATTTGAATTATTTTATTATTTTAGGAGAGGGAATAAGTTGCTGTGATGTTTTAATGGCTGCTATTCCAACCTCGCAGCGTTTTAGCAGTCGTCAAATGCAGCATTTTGGATATCAAGGTGTTGAAGGAAAACGGCGAACCCTCTAGAAGGGGATTCGATAGCTACCCTTTTGATTCGGCATCTTCCTGAGTCCATTCCTCCTGAAACCCTTTTTCGGCTTTTCTCTCACTATGGTGCATTCGCTGTTCGTCCTTGCTATAGTGGAAAGTAAATGAATTTTAAACTTTTGACGGTTCAGTGTAAATTTTATTCAGTTTGGAATTAGTTTCTAAGATCTTGCACATTGTATGTTTTTATCCTATAGATTCATATTTTCCTCCTTTTGCTATGTAGGTTAAGAAACTGTGCATTTGTGGATTTCAAAAATGAGCATTGGCTTCTCAAGCACACTGTCAATTAAACGGGTAAATTTCTTGCTTAGTTTGTTCTTTTTGTTATCTCCTGTTAGGCGCTAGGTTTTTTCAAATGCACGAGTTATCTCTCACTGGCATTGGATGAGAACCCCTATCTTATTGTTATATATCATGATTGTTCTATTAATTATGTTTTCATGTGTTTATATCGATACAACATCAGAAATCATTAACTGATTATCCTATTTATTTGGTTTCTCAGCCTGAGGTTTCTTGGTAAAGTCTTGTTAGTGGAGAGAGCTAGTAAGCCAACCGAACATAATAAACCTCAGCAAACTGGAGTTAAGCTTGGAAAGGATTTTTCACAATCTGCATCTTCGCTGAAAGATGCCAACTCGACTATAGACCCGAGTCTAGGTTCAAGATTGGGATCAATACCTTCTAGTGAACCCATTGCTCCTAGACTTGGTGTAGACTATCCATTTCCTTCTCACCTTGAGTGAGTCTTTCCTCCTATTTATTTTTCAAGTTTCCTTTTACACTTTATTAGAAGATGCTTGAAATATGAAGGTTCCAATATGATGTCAAGCATTATGCATGCATGGTATAGAATTATTGGGTTCAATTTTTTTGCAACCAGTGCTTAAGCATTTATTCAATAAAGATTTTATAGTTTGCATAGAGTACGTGGTTTTCTTTCTAAATGAAATAAACGTGTCAGATATGAACAAAAGTTTATGCATATTTTTGTTGCAGATATGCCTATCCTCCACCGGATGGAAATATTTTGACCAATATTGTTAATGCACTTATTGCCGTTCCTCGCTTATATACCCAGGTTTTCTTAGTTTCACCTTTATTTTAAACCTACTTAAATATTTCTTAATCTTCTTAGGTTTTATCCTCTGTGTGATATTTACTTCATTATACCGGATTAACCGCAGTTGGATATGTATCTCTTACCATATAGTATCTCTATTTCAGGTGTTGCACCTAATGAATAAAATGAACATTCCAGCTCCATTTCGTATGGCTTTGCCCACACCACCTCTGCCACCTCCAGTACCTGCACTGCAGTCACCACCCCCACCTCCTGCCTCCTCACCTGCAAAGCCTCATTTGGAAGATGCATCTTCTAGTGAATCTGAAATGGAGTCTTCTGATGAGGCAAGATCTTGCTGCTAAATGCTGAAAATTAATAATCACATATTAGATTAAATTAACCAGAACATCTGTGCCTACTTTAGTCAAGTTTAACCCTGTTTATGATTTCATTCGTTGTTCATTGTTCCTTTACTAACGTGTTTGTAGGAGGCCAGTGATAAAGGTGCTCCAAGATCTGCAAGGAAGCATGCAAGGCGAGAAGCTACTGTGGACCCTGCAATTGATAGAAGTGTAGCTCATGAAGCTGTTGGAGTGAAACCTGCCACCCTGATCCCAAAAGAAATCCCGTTGATAAAGAAGAAGAACCCGTTTCTACAGGTCATACTATTATCTAATGGGACTATGTTAGGATGAGCTTTACTCTGTCTAAATTTTAACAATCTTCTTGGTGTTTTCGCAGATCAAAATTGCCCTCAAACAGATTCCAAATGAGCAGAAACATGCTGATCCTGATGATGACTATAAACAGATTTCAGAGGAACCTAATGAGGAGGGTATAGATGCCAAACAATTTGCTACTGCGGATGAACTGGAGAAGGGGAAGTTGCCACCAGAAGAAATCTTATCCCTTCCAATGTTTAAGGAATTGGATCTTATCTCAGCAGATTGCTTTTAGATAGTAGATGAAATCAAATATGCAATTTCCCAAGATTCCATTTACTCATCTGTTGAAGTACGAAAGCTGTTCTTGCAACAAACTATCATGGAAACTAGCTTGAGTTTGTGCATCTGTGAAAACATAAACTGAATCGAGAATCTTGGTTTGTGCAGAACTATACAGCAGGTAATCCTGCTTCTGTGCTGTATATAAAGAACTTGGCAAAAGGATGTTGTTCCTGAAGATTTCTACTTCATCTTTGGTGAGACTAAATGCATTCCTTCTTGATGTATTGAATAGTGGCCTCTTAGCAGCTCAATGACCGTAATAAATGGGAAAATAAGATAATAGTTAACTTTATAACTATGCAGGCTAAAACTGCTCTTTTTAACTCCTTGGAATTCAAGTGCATCATTACTTTGTTCCTTGCTGGTATTAGCAAAATGTTTTTTGCTGATTAAGTCTTGTTGTGATGTAGGATCATTATTTGGAAGCATTGATGCTGCTAAATCCATTCTTAATGTGAAGCTAATTTCCAACTCATTTACATTGCTTTTATAAATTTCATCTTCCAACTTAATTACTGATCTTTTTACTGGAAAATCGACACTTGACTTCACAAACTGATATCAAACTCAAATATCTGAATTTTTTCATTGAACCAAGAGTTGAATTATTGGAATTTGAACATCAGAAGAATATGTGGTTATACTTATGGAAATATTGAGTCTTTCTGTTTAAAATATTTCACTTATATGCAGGTCAAAAAGTGATGTGGTTACCTAATTGCGATGCTGAAAATAATCTTTTGATATCAGGAGGGAAGGATGAGGGGTCAAGCTTTTGTGACTTTTCCATCAGTTGAACTTGCCCATCATGCTTTGGTATGTTGCTCTCAGGTTTTTGTTTTCCTGAGTTTGTCTATTTCGTGTATCCCATAAAAGTTGCCTTAACACCCACTGTTGTCTTTGAGAGAGTGTTTATGTTAACCTAGTCCTCAGCATTTAAAATTCGAGACCAGGGACAAACCGGTGTGAGCAAAATGAAATCTCAAGCCAAACCAGCTAGAACTTAACTTGTTACTTTGGTATTATCAATAACAAAAGTGGGGCAAAATAAATTGGCTCTCTCCTTGAGTTTGTTATCCTCTCAACATTCTGGTTCTTTTACCAAAATAGCCAACCTGGTTCCTTTTCGCCATAAATCTTTTTCTTGTGACAAAGCTAGTGAAGTTAAACATCAGTTCTTATATCCGAAGATAAAAGCTTTGGCTAATAATGTGTTATTAGCCAAAGACAACCTATTGAAGCTCAAAATGGTGTTCTTGAGGCTCTCCTACTTGTATAATTAATACAAATCGCATACTTCTATTAATAAGATTTTAGTTTTATTTGCAAGCGACCTTAAACATCTTCTAAGATAGGTAATTCTTAGCACACTCTTTGTTATTGATTTCTCACTGTAATAGTTACTCCCAGGGAATACTGCTTCATTTTAGGTCTATAAATTCTTTGTTATGTTAGATACGGTGATGAATTTCTCATTTTGTTTTCAATCGGATTATCCTTCTTTGCAAAACCTCGTAAATGGTTATGTATTTAAAGGCAAGCCAATAATAGTCCAGTTCGGCCGGAATTGATATGAGGCGACAGAGCAAGCTCCATATTATCAACTGTGTGGTTTCACATTGGTGATTAAGCCTTATGTTATTAAGCAAGGCGGTTTTACCTCCATAATTTTACAATCACAAGTCCGCATTAAGCGGATATGTTTTTGAAACGAGTCTCTTGCGACTAAAGTTTTCACAGGGATATTTACTTGGCTGGCCTTGAAGGTCCACACCAAAGGTGTCATGTTCAGTGGTGAAAATAGAGCAAAGACGAACAGGGTCTTGCCAACTTGCTCCTACAGAGCTTATGGTAAACCTTCATCATCATTCCTTAGCTCTAATGTAAGTGAAGCCGTTGTGTTGCCCTTGCGGTTTTTCTCCGTCCATCATAAACTGGGCACAAGCATGCTGGTGATTGATTGGAAATAGAAATATTTAGGATTATTACCCTTGATTGTGTTGAGCTTTGTAATCACAATTCACAGTGTAATCTCAGTTTCCCCATTTTGATGATTTATATCTTTTGGTTCTTTTCCTTTTACACGTTAATCACATAATTTAGCATTCATTACTTGGAAGAAACGATAAGCTATCGAAAAGGAAGGCTTACTCTTGTGTTTTAACATTTGAGGTTGTAATATTTACTGTCATAAATTCTCTTTCTTCATTCTCTCTTAATTCTACATTCAAAAAGTTCACGGAAATTCCTGTCTTGTGTGCTAAGCTATGACTCCTGTAATGAAAATCCCAAAGATGTCATTTTCCTTTACCATAACATATGATGGTGTTTACCTGTAAATTCATTTGAGGGTAAACTTGCTTATTGTTGATTTAAGCAAAAATCTGATGTAATCATATAGATATGCACAAGAACAACAAAAGACTGAGTTTATTACTTTAGCATTCAGTGGGGTTCATCCAGTGAGGGGACCGATAAAAAGACGAGATACAATATTTCACAAACATTTTGCAGGAATCATGGTCTGAATTCAGTATCAACATGCAGCCTGAAAATGTTTGCTAGCAGCAATGATCTTCTGTTTGAACTACTTGTTGGTTATCTAATGCCATATCCCCAAAACGACTGCGAAGCAAAAGAGTAGCGCAAGTGCGGCATCTCCTCCTGGGAGGATCGACGACCTGTTGAATTGAAGACGTTAACCAAGAAATGGGGAAAATGCAATGGACAGTAATCTTTATTCTGCCGGGTATATGCAGTAGATTGCTGTATTTAACTATTATTGCATTACCTGAGCTTCTTCCTTGACTGCTGTATGTATGCCATTGCAGGGGGAAGGATGCCAAAGAGAAAGCAGTTTGGGTAACCCCGGCAAAATCAAGGGCTCTCAAAATAGTTGGACGGCAGAAGGAAGCTATGAGAACTGGAGCAGTGAGCACTAGTGGCATTACAAATCTTTCGAATGATTTGAGGTCGGGTTTTCTCAACCTTTGTACATTTTCTGAAGCAGCAATGCTGTTTGATCCAAATGAAGCTTTCCCAAAATTCCCGCTTTCAAGCCGAGTTAAATAAACCACAAAACCAACTCTCCCGGAACCATTAGAGACCAACTGAGACTGATAAGGCATTTGCTTTGCCAACCTTGCTTTCCCTAGAATCAATTCCAAGGTATTAAGAAGTTGCTTAGGGAAGCTTACAGCATATCCTATCAGGCTAGTTGCCAACGCAGAGAGTGCAAAGCCTTGAGCAGCTGATAAAGCAGAAGGATTCACTGATAGTAAGAGGGATATAGGGTCTTTCGGCGAGGTATTTCCAGCCAGTCCTAAAACAATCAAATTCCATGATAGAACCATTAGCTAACGGAACAGCCCCTCCGATCAGTATTGCTTTTCGAGCCTTGACACCGAATTTCCAGGAATCTTGCAAATGAACGGAGTGATAACATGGAATCCTAATGTGAGTACGGTAACAGGAATTGCAGGCAAAATAGTTGACAGATTCCATGAGCCATGAGCAAAGAAGCCCAACACATTTGCTCTGTCCACCGATAAAACAATGGCCACCAATGCGGTTATTGAGAACAGCATGAGAAAGCACAAAAGCTGGTTGGAAACATCAATGGCCTTCAATGGAAAGAACACAATGACAGTCCCAACAGCTAGTGGAAACAAAGCATGAGCTAATACCAAATTCATCCAGGGAAACCATTGACACATCAGTGAACCGATGCCCGAAACACAAGCGACCAACAAAGCAAACTAAGGGAGGCATAAATGACCGCAACAAAAGCACCAAAATTACCCCCTAATGCTTTTGTTGCAAGACCAGTAAAGCTCACTTCTTCAACCCCATCTTCCTCCATTAATGCAAAACTCAGCTCTGCAACAAGAAGGATGGTCGAAATAACATAAACCCAAGACAGAACAATGGCAATGGTTGCTGGAAGTGGACCTGGTTTTATTGTTGCAGCTGGTAAACCCAACATTCCAGGCCCTAGAGCCTTACCAATAATCAAACTAACAGCACCCCAGAAGCTCTTGTCCTTGTCTTGGTGTTGGGATCCTTCTGGCAGCTGATTCTTCAGTGTTTCAACACTATGTTCCTCGTCATCAAGTGAAACAACAGGAAGTGCCGAACTTTGGGGTGTGCATTTGAGAAGCGGCTGGTGATTCTTGGAGGTTAATGTAAAAGAATTAGCATTGAATACTGCTGTGGATAGCCTGTGAGGGTTGGGATCATAAAGATTAAATCTTGACTTCAATGGTGAGTTGAAAATGGATGGATGGTGAGAAAGTAACATATTGGGAAGAAAATTTTGGGGGTAATGGAATCCTCGACAGAGATTCTCGAGTAGTTTCCTTTTTGCCATTTTCACAGTGTTGACATTCTTTGAATGGCGGCTGTTTGGTAGGGAAAGTTATATGGAAGACCTTGGAGGGGATCAAAATGGACCTACAGAGCAACTATGAGAAGAGCAATGAGTTTTTGGGATAAAAAAACTTTTAATCCCTGAACTTAACTTCTATTAACGTGGTCCTTGAAATTTTTCTTCACTTTAGTCCTTGAACTCTGATTTTTCATCTTTTTGATAAAGCCACGCAATCTCAGGATGCGACATCATCAAAAAGACTAAAAATGAAAAAGGCGTCAAGTTTAGGACTGATATGGATTAAAATACAGGAATTAAGATGAAAACAATTACCAGGTTCAGGTATTAAAAGATGATTTATCCTATATATTTTTTCATGATTTATTCCAAAGTCAAGCATGAAGAAAAGGAAGCAGAGCAGCCGTTCAAACAAACAAACAAACTTCGAAGTCATTTTTCATGGGCCAAATTAAAAATGGGCTTACACTCATAAAATAGTAGGTAAATCAAACAATGACTTATTACTTCTTTTTACATTTATATATATATAAAAAGTTAATTACAAACATACTTAAACTATGATTTATATTTCAATTTAATATTTTAAATTTTTTAAATTTTTTAAATTTTGATAATTTACATTATCGTTTTATTAAGTTTTGAATTTTGAAATTTTGAGTGTCGGTATTATGATGTGATTCATTAATAGAAGGATTTAATTTTTTTTAATCTTTGAACTTTAGATAAAATATCACTCTTATGAATCTTTTTATAAACCCAAAATAATTAGGGAAAATTTTAATTTACTATTCTTTTAATTTATTTACTTCTCAAACTCTATCTTGTCCACTTACACCGCACATTGTATTATTGTTCATCTTCTCCATCGCCGCTCACTTGACAGACATGAAACAGAGAACTTTGGGTAAACGAACCTCAACTGCTTACGTCCAAACAAAAATACAACCTATCATGAGAGGCTTGCACCAAATGATTTATAAAATATTTGGAGCTGGACAAACATTTTGAACAATGAACGATTTCATGTTTAATGTTGCACTACTATCGAAATATATTGCCGATGTTTCAGAAATAGTGTGGTTGCAAGCCTTGGTGAAAGAAGTAAGGGTTTCTTTGGAGACCACTTCGGGTGTGTGGATCGATAACACAAATGCTGCTGTGATGAGTGCTGACCATGTCGTCTTCCACGCTCGCTCAAAATATGTGAGTTAGATCTTCACTTTGTGAGTGAAAAAATTGCAGCTGTATGTCTTCATGTCAACTATATACCAGCTCCACATCAAAAGACCATTGAGTTTACCAAGTCCCTTGCTCTTACTGTCTCATTTCGACAAAGGGATAATGCTGTTAATGGTCCTGATAAAATGCTAAACTACAAAGGAGTAGGGTGAATGCTAGTATAATTAGTAGGTGGCAGGTTGTTATGATGGCATATTATACCTGGGTTGCTAGGGGTGTAAACTAGCCGAGTCGAGTTTAAATATTGTTAAGCTCGACTCGACTCGAAAATTCACGAGATTAAAATTTTTAAGTTTGACTCGAACTCAAAATCATGAATTGAAGCTCATAAAAGCTCGTAAAGGCTCAAAATGAAAAAAAAATATTAAACTTAACTCGATTGAAGCCTCAAACTCAAATCGAACATGAACCTTAAATGCATGAAAACCTTACCTTTTATGTTTTAAAAAAATCACATAAATGCTAATATTATTAATAATTTATTTTTAAAAAATAAAATCTTAATATATTGTATTTTTGAGTTACTCACGAGTTT